CATCCATCCATCCATCCATCCATCCATCCATCCATCCACCACACATCCATCATCCATCCATCCATCCATCCATCCATCCATCCATCCATCCATCCACCACACATCCATCCATCCACCACACATCCATCCATCCATCCATCCATCCATCCCACCGCCACAAATTTTGGCTGAGAATATTACAGACATCATGTAGAGATAATATTGAGCATACTTAAAAAAATCTTAACTAAAATCACCAATGGTAGTTTAATAAGTCAAATGTAATAAAAGTTAATGAAATTTAAAAAAATAGTTGCATAAATTAATGAAAATTAAGTTATTTGAAATTAAATGATTTAATTATATTTTAATGGCCACTGAGATTATTTGACACACTGTGAGGAGTGTACACAAAATGATAGTATCACTTACTGTATATTCTATTTATAATTTCAATATAAACAAGAAAGCATTTAATTTTCCAAACTGCAACAAATTCATTTATTTATTTTTTGTTTTGTGGTTTACTAAATGTCTTAAAAAATGTGGGAATAAGAGGTAAGCATTAACTGTCCAAGGTAAGAAAAAAAATGCTGTTAGCATCAAAATGTTAATTACATTTTATTTTAAATCATTATTGCAGCATCAACATTTATTTAATTTTATTCTTTATAGACAGTTGTAATAATTTAATTACCAGATTACGTGTTTTTTTTTTTATATTTTTTTCATTGCTCAACTTTGTGAAAAACTGGAATATTCTATTTAAGTTAGGGGAAAAACTTTTTTTTTTTAGTTATTTTTCTATTTTTTAATGCATTTTTTTATTTTTTATGAAACTATAATACAGCGCAATGAAAAGATGGGTCATTTTATTCTCTATAGTCACTTCATCTTTTTCAGGGTCACTGGCAAATTGGAACACATCCCATTTACCACAGAAAAAAGGCAGACTAACCTGATTTTAATGCATAAATGGAGAACACACAGAGAGACAACACTGATATGCCTGCCGAGTGAAGGACATTTTAAAAGCTCCAAGAACAGTAGAGTGCCTCTACAGGTTAGTCAGACAAATAACATAGATACCTAATGTGCTAATTATTAGGAGGAAGTGCAAGCAAAAAGTAGCAGAATAAAATAAATACACATTTTTTATTGGTAATCGTGCAAAAATGCCCAACTAACACAATCAGAAATTGTTAAGCTCCTTCATTGTAAGTCAAATAGAAAATTTTTTTTTTTCTTCTTCTTTCAGCTGCTCCCTGCGTTAGAGGTCACCACAGCGAACTAAGTCGCACGAAGACTTGGCAGTTATTTTTACGCCGGATGTCCTTCCTGACGCAACCACAGACACCGAGCTACCACAGCCCTCTGTGTGGAACAGAGAGCTGCTACCTAGGACACCCAGAGGAGCAGATGGTGGGGGTTATGGGCCTTGCTCAAGGGCCCAGAGTGGGACAAATGAGGGTGGGGGCAGGTGTGGGTGCTCAAGGGCCCAGAGTGGGACAAATGAGGGTGGGGGCAGGTGTGGGTGCTTCACCTACCCCACCAACATTTTTGATGTTGTCGGTACCCGGGCTTGAACCGGCGATCTTCAGATCACAGGCCTACCGTCTCTAACCTCTGTGCCACCACCCTCATTTGTCCCACTTTGGGCCCTTGAGC